ACACTACCTGTTTTCATTTTAAGAAAACATGATAAAAATAAATTAGCGTACCCGATTCTTAATATTTAATTCTTTATAAATCACACACGACATTCACGGTATATGCTTTAAAACTCCCATTTCATATATATTTGTTGACATGAATTCTCGTCAAGTTAAGTTTCACTCTGCAAATATTTGATCAATAGTTATAACGTCATGGGTTTGGTATTTAACCTCTGCGATAAATACTTAGCTATTTATACCACCATAAAACAACAAGATTTAGTTTATATTATGTTTTTGAATTATTTCAATTATTTCTTGGACCTGATATTAAACTTTGAATACAGATATGAAGAAATCATTATCCCTAAAGATCGCGTCATACAGCTTACTATGACGTCATATTGTTTAGACATGTTCAGGGTATCTGGATGTAGCCTTAACATACTTGCGTGAATAAATCTTCATATTTCCATCACGATCATGCAATAAATATATAATACCCATACCCATGATGACCGGTTACATCACGTGTTACATTAGCTATTGGTCACGTGACTGGTATAAACATATATTTTAGCTGAATGTAGAAAATGGTGCTAAATTGTAAGGGCACCAAGATGTTTTTGGACACGAAAATTGATACACATTAAAAGAGGTTTACATTTTCTAACTGAAAAGTGCGGTACGCATGTTTGTGCTGTTCTGAGAGTAGGCGTAATTTTAAAATATATGGAATATGGAATATCAAAAAGTTCTCGCTTTGTTTCCATAAATATAATGAATTAAAAAAATATACAATCCAAAATTTTTAATATATTCAAAATTTGAACAGCTGATATTCCATATTTCAAATCAAATGATCTCGTATAAGTGTGATGATATTGGTTTTGTTGATTAAATGTAACAATTATGATAATTTTATATTTATTAAAGCATTTTTAACAATTAAGTGGTTCCATTCCATTGCTTAAAGTCAAGGTCCGTGGCTTCATATAGAACGAGATTGTAATGTTATCAGATGGTGATACTTTGCATGCTTTTATAAATACATTGTAGTCGATCAAATAAAGGTACGCAATCTTTAAATTGAGCATAATTATGTAGTTTAACAAATTTGTGCTTCTTATAAAAATTTTTAGGGCGCCAGACTAATTTCATTGAGTGCATCACAAACGTAAAGTTTGGTTTTCCTAAAGTAGCTGAATTGCTTTTTTTGGATGGATTCTATTTCGTAACATTTTTAACTTTTAAGTACCTTTGATTTTATCTGAAATTAAAAGAATGAAAGAAAGTAGAATTTAAAAATTTACTAGAAGATTTGCAGCTGTTATTAAGAATGCCTGTCCATTGCTCTAGCTTTCAAATTGTTTGACAATGATATATTTAACTGTTTACAATTGTTACTTCGACTTTTTGTATCGAGCAGGAGTTCAATTAAAAACGAGCCTGTAGTTCGTCAATAAGAACAAGCATATCTCGTTTCGTTTTCCCGGTTTTTTTTCATCTTAATTCAAAATTCATAAAAAATAATGGAAATTGTCTACTTCCTTGCAAACATATATTTTCTATAGTGTATTAAACCTCCCCCATTACAAAGAGCAATTGACAATTTTTTGATGAATTAGAAACAGAAAGACAAAAAGATAAAAATAAAGAAAACTCGTTATTTCTGTATTATGGTTGGATCTGCCTAAAAATGATATTGTTTATACCATCGTCCTTGACCTTCCCGAATCAATACATCCTGATAACCAATAAGCCTGCTCTTTCTATTTTTGCCATATATGACATTAACTTTTTGGCTGTCGTAAATGAGCATTTATTAGAAAGTCAAGTAAAAATAACAAGCTTACTTAATTTAATAAATTAAACCATAACTTGCTTTTTCGACTGATATTACAATATCAATGTTCATACTTTGATAAAAACATTTTATTTAAAACAAGTCATAATTAGGAAAATTCAAACTTTTTGGGAATAGAACTTTTATCAAAATTATCAAAAATACAGATATTTAAAAGTAATGAGTGACATGAGATTCAGTGTACTTTACAACTGAAGAAAAAACGTGAACTTAAAAAATTCAATTTTAAAACCAGACTTTTTTTTTCAGTGATTAAGTTTTATTGAAGTTTACATGTACTTTTAAAAAAAATTAAAGGTACATTTTGCTTCTCGAAGGGAAACGTTTATTTGAAGTATAGAAATACAATGACATTTATGGAGCAATAAGAATAAAGGTATAATCAACGTGTTGTTGTCTGAGTTGTATATAAGAAGGAAGCAAAATATATTTAAAGGGAAGAAGAAAAAAGGATACTTTCTATCTGACATCTGAAACAATGCCTTCGGTAAGTCCTGAAGTTGAAGCTGATAAAGGAGGTAAGGAAAAACAGCTTTTGTAAATTTAACAAGATCACACGAGAGAGAGAGAGAGAGAGAGAGAGAGAGAGAGAGAGAGAGAGAGAGTTTTCTGTTTTGTAGTAGAATACGAAATCTATTTCACGAATGGGACATGATTTATTTCATTAAAAAAATCTGCATAGCGTGTTTTATTTGGGTGCAAACTTTCGCTTATTTTAGCTTTTCGGTATTAGCCCTCTAAAATTTCAATCACTAGATTTGAACCCATACATAAAAGTACTAAACACTAGAAATATAATTGCGAGAGAAATTAACCCAGATAGACAGAGACTAAAACTGTCAAAGTTTCTCAAAATTATTGTTGAAATCCATGATTACAATTTTCAATCTTACGATCGCTTAGTTATGTCGTTTCAACGCCTCAATTATGACGTCATAACGCACTACGTAACAAACAAAATGTGGCAATAGGGGAATGTACGGAAATATTTACATTCAACATGTATTTTGCTTATAAAGTATGGGAAAAGCTACGTCATTCAAAACCCCATACCACGGACAGGGGGCAAAGGTTAAAGTATGCGTTTTATTTTGACGTCACAAACGTTTAACGCCGTAGAAGTGCAACGTCACAAGCGAAAATCAAATTTCACGCTCACATTGAACAGAAGCTTTTGCAATGCCCTTCCATTAAATGTAACTTACCCGAAGGATAATACAGGGATTTTGAAATTAAAAAAAAACACCTTTGCAGCCAAGGCAGGGAGTTAAAAAATGTAAATATAGACATTGAAACATTATTTTTTGAAAGATAAAGTCTCATAACTTCAACGGTGTGTGCAAAAAAATTTTCGTAACGAGCTAACGTACGTTACTCAATTTGCTTGCACACACCGTTGCAATTATGAGACTATATCTTTCAAAAAATAATGATTCAATGCTTAAATGTAGTCATCAAAAAGACAAATTTCACATTCGTAAGATTTATCTCCCGTTCTCGGCGTAATGCTCATTTTTCTCACTATATCCGTTTTAACTTACCTGTAAATATTTTCAACCTTAAAAGGCTATCGGACAATTTTGATCCGTTCCTGTATTGCCATAGTATGGGGCAACATAAAAAAAACATAACAAACATATTCATACAGATTTCATTTGTAAGATATTGCCCCATGAAGTTGGTAATGGTATAGAGGGAAAACAGTGCCTTACGCCCGTTGACCCCAGATTAACCCCGCAAAGGGAAATAACTTTTGTAAATGTGAAAGTCGTCTAATCAGTATTTTTAGGTGAAAATGGAATCTATTTCACTAATGAGGTAGGATTATTTCATATCTGCTTCGAAGCAATTTTTTTTTTTCATGAACGACTCAATGATAAGACTTTTTTAAAACAAAATGCCAAAAGTTTTGTGCATAAGACATACTGACTTCGCATTTCTTTTATCAAGTGTATGATAAACGCTTTTATGTATCTTAATCATATTTTCTAAATTAGGAGTGATGGATTACAAAAGTGGAATGAGAAAACAAAAGATTATTTCAATAGTTCTTGGAGTGTTGTTGTCAGCGACTCTTGTAACGTTTATAACGATTCTTGTCATACACCTGAAAGGTAAGATGTTGATTGGTATATTGAAATAACACTTAAAGACAGCATGCAAAAATAATTTAAAAAATGAAGTATGTCCAAACCAATGCACTATACATTGGATATCACAAATTTCAGTAGCAAAGGCTTTCTGCATTCAACACTCAGCAGAATACTTAGAATTATAACAGTTTTTTGTGTTTAATTTCTTTGAGATAGTAGCAATACTTCATAAACAATACATAATGCAGCTAGTTTATGGACGCCCTTAATATAGAAAATACATATTTTGTTTTTTAAATTAACAACATAATTTACTGTTTTTCTATATACATGTCTCTGGTTTCTGCTGGGTTCTTTCAAAACAACTTACGTCAGCGATTTGTTTCGTGTTAAATTTAAGTTTATCTATATTCATATGAATTACCGAAAACAAGCAGTAGGCATTCAATTAATGTCAAATTACAGAATAAAGCTGACTGAAAAAAGAAGTGTCCGACACTTTTCAAGATAGCAGGAATATGTGTATAAAAACTTAAATTTAGCAAAGCGGATTTCGATGAACTTTTGGGATTTCCGAAGGGTCCTGTCTCTCATTAAAGTTCTTCGCTGTCCAAGTGGGATTTCCCTTTTGCTTTTTAAAAGGTATATACGTTTAGTTAGAGTATAATGATGGATATATCTATGCATTAGGTTCTTAAAGAATTTCTTTTGGTCATATCACACTTTCTTCATATTAAATTTGATATTTTTTTTTTATTTCCTAGCTTCGATAAAAGCTTGATCCGCGCCTCCACTGTAAAGAAATTACGCGTCGAATTAGTCAGTGACGTCATTGCAGTCAGTACAGAAAGATTGTTGGCTATCATTCTAAATTTGATTAATATATATTATGGCAAGATATTTTCGAATCAATTTATATTTGCATTATTTATTAAAATAAGAAATTTAGTGTTTGTGGAACATGCACGTATGTGTTTATGTATCCAGGCTCATTTATATTGATTAATCGTAGCGTTATAATTGTTTTACCGACTTCTGCAGAGGCGGATGTATATATGGGAGTCCTTAATCTAGCTGCGTACAACATCTACTATCTGATTCTGCCTCTAAAGGTGCGGTCACAAGGTGTGATTTTTTATTCGTACATCCATCCGACTTTTCCATTTGATTGACTTTCTACTAAATTCGTACCCTGTGACCACCAGCTGATAGTTGGAAGCAAAATCTAAAAGTCGATTGGAAATTGGATGGCGCCATGAAATGAACTCGTCATGTTTTTGAAAAAAAAGTTGCGAATAATCAATTTAAATTTACAAAATAAAACTGATCCTCACTTTACATGAATATTTGTGAACAAATGGAAAATTATATCAAATAAATCGTATCGACTTCCTAAACAGTTTGCAAGCACGGAACTTCACTATCACAATGTGTTATATTAGGTCACATAAATATAATTTTTTTTTCTTTTTATGATCCTGAATAAAATTGATTAAACTGCATTTATATTGTATTGCAGTGTAGATTCTAAATTGTTCAAATCATGATCCCCGGGTTAGGGCATGGCCACAATAGGGGTTCCAATTTTCAAACTGAAATATACATCCTGATATGTATAAAAATATCATCCTTACCGTGAACTACGTCATCAGATTCAAAGAGTGTAGATATGGATTCAGAAACTAAAGTGTGGTGATCCTGAGTCGGATCACACCGCTGCATGATTGCATGAAATCAACTTTCCAATTGAGTGAAATATAGCTGGTTTTATAATTCAAGTGATTAACATCGTACCCATATGTTGTTATCAGTATAATACATGTATGAATCAAGCTGTCATTTTTCATTAAGTACATTTGAAAATCATATTTGTTTCTTCAGTCGATCCATGTCAAGACCATGATTGTCAGAATGGTAGTTGTGTGATTGAGGCGTCCTTTGATAGAGGTTACATGTGCAAATGTTCCAATGGTTATACGGGGGTAAATTGCGAAGGTAAACTCTTAATTTTTTAGCTAATTTGGCTAATTCCCACAACAACAAAAAACACCAGGAAAAATCAAAGTACTGAAAGTACTACTACGAGTTGATGGTATTGATTATATAATGTTTAAATGAGTTGAGGTCTCTAGTCCATATATGGATTATGTGATATTATGTGCATTGATGAAAACTATCACTAAAATCTTTTCTTTTTGTTTTCTTTGAGAAATAAAATTATATCATTTTATTTACACCTTTTCCATCATGTATTTTTAACATGTATATTTATTTTTTTAAATATCTACTGGAATGTATAATAATTTATCACAAATCGAACCTTTAAACATAGAAAACAAATAATACTAAGTGAGTTTTGGGATTTTTCGTAAAATGACAATGTAGCTTGCATTTAAAGTAATTTGTATTTTAACAAAATATTAAAGGATACCATCATTGAAAAGGTCACAGACTATCATCATAAAAACTACCGATTGAGAACAGTTTTGGGGCACTCGATATCATTTGACAGAAATATCATATATCAAGTGACTAGAAATTTCAAATAGGGAAAAATGGCACAACTGTTGTAAAATCATATTACAGAATTAAAACAACTAAGTAGACAAAAAAAAAAAAAAAAAAAAAAAAAAAAAAAAAAAAAAAAAAAAAAAAAAAAAAAACAAGAAAAAGTTTTAAACACACGTATCTCAAACTAATAGGCTAAACCTACAATAGTATTACAAGTAGGGAATTATTATTTACAAATAGCACAAATTGAATTATTTCATAAACATACTCATTGAATATTTTCACTGCTCTCTTAAATTGACAAACAATTTGATATTTTCAATGCACATCAATATGTTCCAATTCTCGTGAATAAGCCAGTCTTAAAATTCATATCTTTTACTTTCATTTATATGTATATTACATATTAATTCAATTTTCTTGATTTATAGTTACTATTGAAATTCAACTCCTTGTCTTTCAAAATTTACATGCACATATGATATTTCAATTCTCTTGATTTAGCCACTCTTGAAATTCAACCCCCTGTCTTAAATTATGATCATTGATATGCACAATAAATATTTTAATTCTCTTGATTACGCTATATGTTACACCTGAAATTGAACTTCTTGACATTTAACTGAAATGGTCATTTTATATGTCATTTCGTTTGGTTTAGTCACTCTTGATATATAACTACTTGACTTTGATTGATATGCACATTTTATATATCATTTCTCTCGGTTTAGCCTTTCTTGAAATTCAACTACTTGACTTTTATTGATATAAGTATGCACGTTAAAAAATTTCAATTCTTTCGGCTTTTCGTCTGAAGACTTTAAATTTATCACAATGGCATGATATTGACTATTTACATGATCTATCTCCTCTTGAATTAATTTGATTTCTTGATATTTTCACATTTATAAATATGCATTTCACATTTAATTTATCAATAACACCCCACTTAACTTTTTGTTTTTGTTTTTTTTATTGCCTTCAGTACTATTAATTCACTTTATAACATGGCCAGCATCTGATAGCAAAAAAAGCTGGACATATTAAAGGAAACCACTTTCCAGTGTAGTGCCGACAAATAATGAGATAAGAATAACAGGGTGTTAAGTGACCATTGCTGTATTTAAAAGCTTGCTGTGAAACATCTCTAAGATTGTGGAAGACATTGTTTTTAATAGGGAAAAAGAAACTGGAGCACAAAGTTCTCCACTGCTGAAAAAATCTAACCCTTGAAGCAATCGAATTTTTTTATTGCTAGCACGAGAAATAAGAACTTTAATTTCAAAACTATTTATACTGGTACAGCTCATTTCTTCCGTTCGAGATAAGTAGTTGATTTACTTCGACCTTCTTTACTGCAAACTTCTCGCTTTGTTTACAAACATAGGCAGTGTTTTCTGTTCTGTGTTGAATGATTCATCATTAACGCGGGAAAACTGCTCTGTTCATTAGCATAACAGCGCAAGAATTAGTTTATTTATATACCACCAGCACGTCAATCTTTTAAAAATAACCTGGTTTGTACAATGTTCAATTATGTGAATTTTCTTTAAAAATCGGTTTTCAAAACAATTCTTATTATATAAAAATTTTATTGATTTATAAATCAAAATTTTGTTTGCATGACATGTCACTTTTGTTGACAGCATGTCCCTAACACTATTTTCTTTTGCGGATGGACACAAATTCCAATAAAATTAATAATAAATATTTATGTTTATAAATACTTCAAAGCATATCAGGAAACATATTCCTGTTCTGTAGATCATGAAAACTGTAAATAAACCAACATTATACAAGAACCCGTTCGCAAAATACTCAGATGAAAATGTGATTAGTTTCGATACATTGGGGAATGCCTTACAAGTCACATAACATGAGTTGATACCATCAACTCGTAACCAGTCGCTATCTTTATTAATACTATAGACGTCAAAGAGTCTGAAGGTGAGATTTATAAATAGAAGAAAAAAAATAACTTTATGAAAAGTGAAAAGTTCAACAATACCCCGGGGATAATACACATTTGATTTTTAAGTACTATTATTAAGAAATAAATAACACGTTTAAAAACTTCAATGGGAAATGAAGTGGGTCGGTCACGTGATCAAATCCTGTGAAGGACAATGATCTTCTTAGTAGATTTGATTACTTACTGACCGACTTCATTTCCCATTGAAGTTTATAAACTTTCATTTATTACTTATATAAACATTTAAGATGGACAATCAACTAAAAATTTTGCACTAACTGTCCATCCTAGATTTTGAAAAACAGTACGCAAGGTGTAAATCGGCTTGAAAAATTGGCTTAAAATACTGTAATTCTAGATAAACATCTCTCGGTCATGAAAATTCCCGCTAGATCGAGAACCTTGATCTTCTGTCACAGAACTACTTAAAATCGGACTTACTTGGATGTTTCCCACAATCGACAAGCACGACCTCCTGATTCGCTGACAAAGAAGAAATCTGGTAAATAATTGCGTATTTAAGACAAATAAGCCATTTCATCTGTGAAATGACGAAAGAGGCTTGAAAAAAACATCCTTCTCCTTGATCTGCCTGTAGGAGAGATTTCCTTAGTAATGCTGTGTTTACGCTGATAATCTCCTTCGATGCGGAGAGCCCTGTTTGTTTAAAAGGTTTTGTTTCTTATCTTTATTATTTTTATGTACCGTAGAGGCCCAATCTCTAAAACAAGAAACAAAATAGGAAAAGGACATCGGATATCGGAATATAGGTTCATGGACCAGGAATTCATTTATTTCTTAATTGAAATATATGAAGATAACAAACAGTATTCAGGCTCAAAAGTCCATCAAACAATATAAATTAGGAGCGGAGCAAACACGGACCTCCAAACATCAGAGGTGGGATCAGGTGCATGGAGGAGTGAGCATCCCCTGCCGACCGGTCACACCCGCCGTGTGCTCCTTGTCATGATCGGGAAATAACGGAAAAATCCGTCGACAATTCAGTGTGTAAATAATTGCCTAACAATTTGTATGAAAAACGTCAGTCAGAATTTAACTCAATGATAAATTGTATTTGCTGACAAGGTCATTGTATCGACCTTAGAACTTACGAAATGATGACTTTAAACGAGACAGCTGATATTCGTAAGTATTTGATAATATTTTATGAAGTTTGGAAGAGGTTACATCATCAATTGATTATGTGTCTTTGATCAATGTGACAACCCATATCCCAGCTGAAATCAACTTGACAATAGTAAATACATGTATATTTTAAGTTTCATAAACCCTCTGTTAACTCATATAAAATGATATTTTAACACTTATGATTTCCAAAAGAAATGTATCTTATTGGCACAATGCAAAAAAAAAAAAAAAAAAAAAAAAAAAAAAAATAGCGCAGCTTGCTGGTCAAAATTGGACATAAAAGAGATTCGAAGTTGACAAATCTCTACAGGAATAACAGAATTTATCACGTTTAGGGTTACCTCTCTTATAAGAGTATCACTGATCCTTAACAGTAACTTGATCGAAAATCCTTATGCACGTTGACTGCAGAGGCTAGAATGAAATATGCAGATAAAGAACAGTATATAAGCTCAATAGAACGAACTTGACGCGAATTTGATGATATGCGCCTGTCAACGATCGGATCAATTATACACCTTTTATCTATTAAACAAATCACTTCTTCAAGAAACATCCTGATATGTATAGAAATATCATGCTTATCGTGAACTACGTCATCAGATTCAAAGAGGGGTGATGTGGATTTAGAAACAAAAGTTTGATGATCCTGAGTCGGATCAACCGTCACGTGATTTCATGGAATCAACTTTTTAATTGAGTGAAATATAGCTGGGTTTATAATTCAAGTGATTTACATCGTACGCAGATGTTATTATTAGTATAATACATGTATGAATCAAGCTGACAATTTTCATTAAGTACATAAGAAAAACATATTTGTTTCTTTAGTCGATCCATGTGGAAACCACGATTGTCAAAATGGCAGCTGTGTGATTGAGGCGTCCTTTGATAGAGGTTACATGTGCAAATGTTCCAATGGTTATACGGGGGAAAATTGTGAAGGTAAACTCTTTATTTTTTAGCTAATGAAATATATGGAGATAACGAACAGTATTCAAGCTCAAAAGTCCATTAATCAATACAAAATAGGAGCAGAGCAAACACGGACCTCCAAACATCAGAGGTGGGATCAGGTGCATGGAGGAGTGAGCATCCCCTGCCGACCGGTCACACCCGCCGTGTGCTCCTTGTCATGATCGGGAAATAACGGAAACATCCGTCGACAATTCAGTGTGTAAATAATTGCCTAACAATTTGTATGAAAAACGTCAGTCAGCATTTGACTCAATGATAAAATGTATTTGCTGACAGGGTCATTGTATCGACCATAGAACTTACGAAATGATGACTTTAAACGAGACAGCTGTTATTCTTGTTTCATCAACTTATTTGTCAATAATTTACCTCGTTTTAGAAATTGTACATACGTAGAGCATGCTCTTGTGTATCGAATCAACTGAGAGATATATATCCCGTATGCAGGTGATGAAGGTTTATTGCTGCATAAGTAAGGGAAGTTGACGATTGAAAAGTTAAAGTCATCACGTTTATCATAAAGCTTGGTTGTTGCTAATTCCTACAGAAAAATCACCGGGAAAACCATTCGCTATCATGTTAATACTATAGACGTCAAATAGTCTGAAGATAAATGGAGCACTCCTCTACGACGTCTTCAGGTGAGGTTTATAGATAGAAGAAAAAAATACCTTTATGAAAAGTGAATTGTTCAACAATACCCCAGAGATAATTCATTTTTGTTTTTAGAATACTTGAATTATGTATAAACATCTCTCGGTCATGAAAAATCCCGCTAGATCAGAACCTTGATCTCCTGTCTCAGAAATAATTAAATCGGACTTTCTTGGATCTTTTCCGCAATCGACAAGCACGACTTCCTGATTCGTTGACAAGGACGAAACCTGGTATTTAAGACAAATAAACCATTTTATCTGTAAATGGACGAAAGAGGCTGGGAAAAAAATCCTTCTCCTTGATCTGCCTCTCGGAGGAATTTCTATTTTCTATTGCCAATATTTTCATTATTTACTTATAATAGTTTACCTAAAACATTTATACTCAGTTCTTCTAAACTGTAAAAATTGAAATATTTATATCTCTTAACATATTATTCTTTTAATTGTTACAGAAGTTTAGATGAATAATTTTTATTATACAATTAATAACCACTTAAGAGGTCAACAAGGTGAAATAAGGACCCGAGATATGGCCCAGGAGGTCGGCGGCCTCGGTCAAGTCAGGTCAGTGAGTGGGCCAGGTCGAGGGTCCTTATTTCACAATGTTGAACTCATAAGGGGTAATCAATTGTTTTATTATACCGATATAAGTTAAGAAATGTTTGTAGGCTTAATTACTAAAATAATCAATTGTGTATTAAACCTACGAACTGTTATTATCAGTGTGTCATCGGGATCGGGATTCGCTAGTGAAGTTGTTTACTTTTCGCCTGCAGACTCTTACTGTACAAAAGAGACAAATCTGCATTCGTTGAATTTGACATTGTAACGAAAGTTTTAATGAACACGATAAATTTTATGACGCATCTAAAGGACAATTGTATTTCGTATCATAAAAAGACTATACATATTTTTATAACGGCATTTTTTGTAATGAACGGTCATTACTGTATGCATTAATTTTTAAATTTGAATGGAATTTAGATAAACAGGTCATTTTTAGCGGTCATTATTTATAATGACCGGGTCATTATACCCCCACGGGCAATGATTCCTAGGTCATTATTGCTGTATATGGTACATTTTGGAGTCATTATTGAGTTTAAAAGCCTTCTAACAAGCCAAACAAATTTGAGTATTCTTAATAGAGGTATAATAAAATAAATTATTTTTTTTTTCACTAAAAATATTTTGAAGAACGATAATGGAAAGATAACTCTGTAGATGGATGCATTTTAATTTTACAAGCGCAGGAAACAATGTGATATTCTGATTTAAAAGCAACGCTTCATTATGTTTTCTAATGCGAATTAGATAGGTAGATAGGCAGATTGGTACCGTATATAATTTATATATAGATATTATTGCAAATATTATTTTCATATATACCTCACATTTTTAATTTTATTGTGAGATAGAAAATTGATCTTTCTTTTTACCATATCCAATTTTCTTCATATCATGATAACACATAATATTTATTTCTGAAAAAGTAAGCATCGCTTCATACTTCAAACTATTTTCCATTTGAATATAATTTAATTTTGTTTGTATTCTAGCCTCTGATTGGTTAATATCCAAAAAGGAACACAAATTATTTCTGTATAACCTGGTTTGGTATGGGGACACCCCCCCCCCCCCCCCGACACCAGCTGAATCATCTGTATGTATACAATCCTCTCATTTCCTGTCCTCTGGATTCATGGAAAATTCCAGATTTAATAAATATACCTTTAACTTCAAACAATAATTCGATCTTAGCACATGTAAACAAGCTGCTAGGCCTATGTATCAGTTTTTACCTCCCCTCGCTTCCCGTCATTTCCGTTACTTCCGTTACTACGGTTGTATTATTGAGCGGCAAATTTGAACTAATAAAAAGCAATGGAAATTTTACACCCATAGTTATTTAATGATTTTAAAATTAAATTATAAGGAATGACTCTAATTCTTGGCATCTTCGCGGATTATAAAGCGTAAACTGACCCAAACCAGGTCATACTCGAATAATTTGGCCAAGAATTAGAGTCATTCCTAAATTAACGCTGTTGTTGTTGATGAAATCAATGTTTGGAATTTAAAAAAAAAATAGTGAAATTTGGAGCAGAGGGATATTTCACCTTAACAGTAACTTGATCGAAAATCAGTTTGCACGTTGACTGGATAGGCGCGAATCAAATATGGAGATAAAGAACAGTATATAGGCTCAACAGAACAAACTAGATGCGAATTTGATGATGTACACCTGTCAACGATGGGATCAATTATGCACCTTTTATCTATTAAACAAATCACTTCTTCAAGAAACATCCTGATACTTATAGAAATATCATGCTTACCGTGAACTACATCATCAGATTCAAAGAGGGTAGATATGGATTCAGAAACTAAAGTTTGGTAATCCTGAGTCGGATCAACCGCCACGTGATTTCAAGGAATCAACTTTTTAATTGAGTGAAATATAGCTGGGTTTATAATAGAAGTGATTTACATCGTACGCAGATGTTGTTATTAGTATATTACATGTATGAATCAAGCTGACAATTTTCATTAAGTACATTTGAAAATCATATTTGTTTCTTTAGTCGATCCATGTGGAAACCACGATTGTCAAAATGGCAGCTGTGTGATTGAGGCGTCCTTTGTTAGAGGTTACATGTGCAAATGTTCCAATGGTTATACGGGGGTAAATTGTGAAGGTAAATATTTTAGCTAATCTGACTAATTCCTACAGAAAAATCACCAGGAAAAACCAGTCGCTATCTTTATTAATACTATAGACGTCAAAGAGTCTGAAGACAAATGGAGCACTCCACTACAACGTCTTCAGGTGAGGTTTATAAATAGAAGAAAAAAATACCTTCATGAAAAGTGAAAAGTTCAACAATACCCCCGGGGATAAAACATTTTTGTTTTAAAAGTAGTGTTATTAAGATATAAATAACACGTTTAAAAACTTCAATGGGAAATGAAGTGGGTCGGTCACGTGATCAAATCCTGTGAAGACCTTTTTAGTACATTTGATTACTTACTGACCCACTTCATTTCCCATTGAAGTTTTTAAACTTTTATTTATTACTTATATATACATTTAAGATGAACAATCAACTAAAAATTTTGCACCAACTGTCCATCGTAGATTTTGAAAAACAGTACGCAAGGTTTAAATCGGCTTGAAAAATTGGCTTAAAATACTATAACAATAGATAAACATCTCTCGGTCATGAAAATTCCCGCTAGATCGAGAACCTTGATCTCCTGTCACAGAACTACTTAAAATCGGACTTACTTGGATGTTTCCCACAATCGACAAGCACGACCTCCTGATTCGCTGACAAGGAAGAAATTTTGGAAAATAATTGCGTATTTAAGACAAATAAGCCATTTCATCTGTGAAATGACGAAAGAGGCTTGAAAAAACATCCTTCTCCTTGATCTACCTGTAGGAGAAATTTCATTTGTATTGCTGTGTTTACGCTGATAATCTCCTTCGATGCGGAGAGCCAATTAGTGTTGTAACTGGGGCAAAGGACGTCTTTTACACTTGTAAACAAAAATGTGTAAATCCTAAAAATCTAATCAGTTGGGATGATAGCAAAAATAAGTTCATCAAAGAAATTCCAACAATGTAATCATCAGTACGGAAATCTAAAGTTGATTTAAGGACTTCAAACACAGATTATCTTATCAATATAGAATTGGAACCACGCAGCTCGCGAAAATATACTGTCAGCATAAAACTGTTAACTATGAATTGTAGATCCGTTGAAGAACAAGACTCTTGTTATTTCTGATATGATAGTTTCCAACCAAATTGACATAATGGCTATAACTGAAACTTGGTTGGGTAGTGATATAGATAATGTGGTTTTACAATGGTTTTAACCCAATGGGTTACAAATGTATTCACGTACCTAGAAGAAATCGAAAAGCAGGGGGTGTTACAATGATTTTTAACAAAAATATTAGGGTAGAACAAATAAAATCAGCCACTGAATTTTCGCATTTTGAACATCTTGATTGCATCGTTTCTTCTCGTGCAACGAATTCTCGCATCTGCATTGTTTAAAGCCCACCTATATCAAAAACAAACAATCTGAAAATGCAAGATTTTTTCGAGGAATGGTCCTTATATTTAAATCAGCATGCCATTGCACCGGAGGAACTGTTCATGACAGGTGATATCAATTTACATCTCGAAAAATCTGATGATCCGACTTCCACACAATTCTCTGCGATGCTGCAGGAGTGTGGTCTTGTTCAACACATATCAGCTCCCACTAATAAGCATGGTCATACATTGGATTTCGTTATTACGCGTGAAAACAGCTACATTCTGACGAATACCCCCACTGTTGACGACAATTTTCTTCGTGATTCGCGTGGATTACTGTAAACCAGCTATTATTCGCGTCTTTTTTTATTCGCGATTCGTCAGTTTGAAATCAATCCACGGCGATTAATTTTCGCGACTGGGAGGAATAAAGGAATCTATTCATCGCTATATCTATCTAAGCCACCTAAACAACGGAAATCTGTATCGTTTCGGAAACTTAAAAATATTGCAATTGATGAATTCGGAGGGGATGTTATAACTACATTATCGAAGTATCATCTTGATTTATCACCCGATGAACTCGTACAAAGATATGACCTGGATATGAGGGCTTTAATCGAGCAACATGCTCCAGTACAAACAAAAACTATCGTTGTGAGACCAAATACAGAGTGGTTCTCTGAAGAACTTAGCGATTTTAAGCGAGAAAAACGCAGAGCTGAACGCGTATGCAGACGTACTAACTTGACTGTTTACCGTGATGTATTGACTACTCAAAATTGTTGTATCAAAGCAAGCAGTCGTTTTATTCGAACAAAATCCTTGAATGTGGGTCGGATAGTAAGGGTCTATATTCCATTACAAATAAACTCATGGGCAATACTAATGACACTCCGCTCCCGGAATGTATTAAAGACGATATCCTTTCTAATAAATTCAGCAAATATTTTGTGTCTAAGATTCAGAACATCAGATCATCTCTGTTGTCATCAAATTTCGTAGGTTATCATCATGCCGATGCCTTGTCTTTTAATGTGCCGTTTACAGGTGTGTCGTTAAATTCATTCGATTCGACGTCTGGTGATGAGATCAGGAAACTCCTATTATCTATGCCACCAAAATCATGCGCGCAAGATGCTGTCCCGATAGTCAGAAAATGTGTTGAACAATTTGTACCTTTCATTACTAATTTTTTGAATAAATCATTAAGTCAGTCTGTCATGCCGAAGGATTTCAAACAGGCTATTATCAAGCCACTATTAAAGAAACATAATCTAGATACGAACGAACTCAAAAACTATAGACCTGTTTCAAATTTATCATTCCTCTCAAAGGTTATTGAGAAAGTCGTTGCAATTCGTTTAGAACATCATCTAGATTCAAATCATTTGCAGGACACTCTACAATCTGCATACCGCTCGTATCACTCAACCGAAACTGCACTGGTGCGTGTTCACAATGACATTGCTACCGCCTTAGATAACAATTCCTATGCTGTACTTGTCATGCTCGATCTGTCGGCCGCGTTCGATGTTATAGACCACCAGATTCTTTTCCATCGTCTTGAGTATTCATTCGGGATATCCGGTGCTGTGCTTTCATGGATAAAATCCTACTTAACTGACAGAAATGAGAGAGTTTCGGTTGGTGCAACCCTATCAAATGCAGAATCGCTTGAAATCGGTGTGCCTCAGGGCTCGGTTCTAGGACCCAGGATGTACTGTATGTTTTCCAAACCTATAGGAAATATATGCAGGCGCCACAAAATGCAATATCACTGCTATGCAGATGATACCCAAATATATCTAGTTATTGAGCCAAATGAAAACTGGAATAATGTTGCTACTTCTCTTAGTGCTTGTCTCGCAGACATAAATCGTAGATGTGTACCAATCTTTTAAAGTTAAACCATGATAAGACTGAATTGATGCTCTTTTGTCCAAAACATAAAATAAAGGAAACTTCTACATTCATTTCCCATTTGGAGAAAGCTCGATCAGAAACTCTCCTTTCGTAAAGAACCTTGGAGCTTTTTTTCGACCGGACTCTAAGTATGGAGAAAAACTGCAGTTCAATAGTTAGAACATGCTTCCATAACATCCGGAAAATCGGTCGCATCCGTTCGTATATCACAGACGACGCATGTAAAACTTTGATTAACTCACTTGTGACTTCCTGACTCGACTACGGAAACTCATTGATGTACGGAATAAATAAACAACTTGTGAACAAGCTACAGAAAGTTCAAAATACTGCCGCACGGCTGATAACTCGTACCAGGAAATCTGATCACGTGACCCCCATCTTAAAAAATCTCCACTGGCTTCCTGTCGAATACAGAAGTCAATATAAACTACTTTTGTTTGTATGCAATGCATTGAACAACCGTGCTCCAAACTACTTGTCCGATCTTCTCAAAGTATACTCGCCTCCCAGATCTTTACGTTCACAGAATCCATTCCTTTTGGATGTTCCTAAGGTTAGAATTGTAACCTACGGCAGTCGCCGATTTGACTATGCCGCCGCTTTACTTTGGAACTCTTTACCCTTATGTCTTAAAAATCCAAATCCGTCTCCGCTTTTAAAAAAGGTCTTAAAACTCACCTCTTTGAACTTGCCTATGACAGAATGTAAATATTGTATTTTTAGTGATTTATTTAGAATTGAACATCGAACTGGATATAAGGTCTTTTAGGATTTTGTGTTTAATTCAATAGTACAGGCTCTTTTAATTTTAAACGTTTCAATAGTTGTAATTTTATAATAGGGTTTTCCGCGCAGTGTTTCAGTACACTAGTGACATTTTATGTTCTTACAGTTAATAAGGTCTTTTAGATAGCCTTTTTTTACGCACATGCATATGCATTTTTTTAAGTAGTTTGTTCTTCATTTTGTATGTTTATGTGTATTTTAATGTTAAGCGCACTACAGTGTCTTTATTATAATCCGCTATAGAAATTATTGTATTGTATTGTATTGTTTAAAAGGTTTCGTTTCTTACCTTTATTACTTTTATGTACCGTAGAGGCTCAATCTCTAAAACAAGAAACAAAATAGAAAAGGACATCGGATATCGGAATATAGGTTCATGTACCAGGAATTCATTCATTTCTTAAGTATTTGATAACATTTTATGAAGTTTGGAAGGGGTCACATCATCAATTGATTATGTGTCTTTGATAAATGTGGCAACACTTATTCGATCTGAAATCAACTTGACAATAGTAAATACATTTATATGTTAAGTTTCATAAACCCTCTGTTAACTCATATAAAATGATTTTTTAACAATTAAGATGATAAATATCGATATGTAAATGTGTGCTAAACATTTAAATAATTATAAGCTCTTTTACGTAGTGCTTTTGGGGGATTGTGAGGACATTTTAAAGAAATGCCCGAGTTTAAAGGGAAGAGACGGAGTTTACAGAATATTCTTAGCCGCTGAAGTAAAGTCTGTTTACTGTGACATGAGTACAGATGGCGGAGGCTGGACGGTGAGTACAGCTTTATTTATCAAATGAAGATATTTACGTGTAATTGAGAAACATCTAATTGATTTTTTCTTTAACAAAATAAAGAATCTATATCTGTTTGAACATGAACACCCGCGTCTTAACGTAGGTAGGGGGTTCATTTGCTGACGTCGTTAAAGCTGGGTACGCAATTTATATGATTTGGAGGACTTTCTTGTGCACATTTGATTATGAAGTCACAATGAATTATAGTACTCAAATTTACTGAATTTCAAACGAATAAAAAAAATCTTTTAATGTGTTTAAGGCAATACAAAGAAGACAGGACAATTCTACAGATTTTTATAAGAATTGGGAAGATTATAAACATGGTTTTGGGGATCCAGAGAACAACTACTGGATTGGTAACATTATCTTCCTGCTTATATAAGAAAAAAAACGTTGTGTTTTCCGTTTAAAAATTCAATTTTACGAGTTCATTATTTATTTAAAGCTGAACGCTTCTCGTAAAAGGCATTTCCCGCCATATTTTCCTTTCTTCGCTGCTATCCCAACAAACCCAATATAAGCTGCAGACTTCTTTACAGTTCAAAGTATTTTGCAGTAGAGGTCTCACCTGAGAAGTCGTACATCTTACACTGCCGTCTTACTCAGTCGCGATGGAATTACCAAATTTTACGCACTTTTTCCGAGCCAGAAGAAAAATAACATCAATTATACAAGTCAAAGAATTATTTACAATCTGAAATTGCACATAAAACAAGGAATAAACGCAAAAAATCTAAGACCACGAAAGAAATACATGTAATACCCGCCGGCCACGAATTTCAAGTGTGCAATCGGGTGGAACGAAATCGAAGAGTTTATTAATCTATGTGACGGTGGCCATTAATGAGTAGCCTTCAGCTTAGGATTAAGCATCATTTTCTTTATATCCATATTATAAAAATAATACAAAAACATCAGGATAAGGAACAAAGATATCAAAAGGGACTGTTCTTTTTATGAGGATTTATTATATGATCATGATCTTTAAAAAAATAAATGGCAATAGAGGATGCAAACAAAAAAGATATTGAGCATGCACCCATTTTTATAATTTCTTTGCACAGAGCAGAAGAAAACTTTCTGTTTTAAACTATAGTAGAAGTATTACTTAGTTCTTTAAAAAGTGTATGTCAACACCTTTTAAAAGAAACATTAGAAACATTTGCTTCAAGGTAACGGAATAAGTGAACAGATAATCTAGCATCTACTTGCAAACGTTCGCTTCATAAGACACCTGTAATTATGAAATTTACACAACATTACGGTAAACCTTATTTCTAGATCAATCATTCTGAAGATTCAATTTTTGCTCAACTTGACCAAGAGTTAATGTAAAGTTTTTAATACCTTTTTTTCTAGTGTTAAACAATTTTCATTCCATAAAAATGAAATATAATAAACGGATATTTTTACAAGAGATCCCAAGAAATAAAGATATAAAGGAAACAGATAAAATAAAATATTTTTAAATCATTTATATTTATCTCACCATGGTTATAAAAAGAATATAGAAAAAATAGTATTTTTTGGCTTCCTAAAATCACAGCTAGAATATTTTTGATAATTTTTCAAACCTTTCTATATATATCGTCGTAATATAATTCTGGCTTCGAGTGGAGAGGTGAAAAGGTACTTAAAAAGTAACACATACATTTAAAATATATCAAAAGACTTTTTTCTCTTTTAAGCAACAGTCTTGTGCCCAATAATTATTTGTCATGAAATCTTTTTTTGTTCAATAAAATCCTGATTTCAAAATAACTCAGCAATTTTCAATTTTTAACATCGATTTACCGTGTGAATTAAGCGTTGCACCGGTTTTATTCTTCTTTTTAAGGAAACGACGCAATTCATGAGTTGACAAAGAACGAGGATCAGGAACTCCGGGTTGAGCTACAAAGTTTTGATGGAGACAAAGCATACGCTCAGTACACCACATTTTATGTTGGGAACGAAGACAGTAAATTTAAACTCACTGTATCGGGATATTTAGGAACCACAGGTAGGTCTACCCAATAATAATGTAACATAATATTTAGTAATCACAGGGAATTGGAACATAAACTAATAATTTACCTCTGCTTATAATACACTAGACTACTTCTAACACTACATTTTGACTACATAGAAAAATTAGTGGTGTAGTTTGTCTGTGTCACAATTTGATTTATGTAAAAAAAGTTTCTGCTTGACGTCACATTTCAATTGTGCATATTATGATTGCATTTTTGAAAGATTTTACACTTTAATAGAAAATTTAATGTAATTTAAATATATTGAGATAACGAACAGCTCAAAAGTATTTTTCAATTAGAATGTAATTATTATATATGCAAGTTGAACATGTATAATTAGATTGGAACATTTTAATATAATTCCAAAAACCGCTTCACGATTTTAACGCGTAAATGGCTCTACAAAGGTTAGACAGTATAACTTGGGTAGCTATTAAATTCATTCTAAGAATATTCAGTATTGCTATGCTAATGAACCAGTTATCTACATAGCGTCATAGGGTATGATTAATTTTATTTTATCAATTTGACAAACATAAAGTAGTATGGCAATTAAAAATTTATACTTAATAATCTACTAATATATATATATATATATATATATATATATATATATATATATATATATATATATATATATATATATAGAAAAACAGGTACATACCCAGTATATCTTATATTTCAGAATGTTCCGAAAGAAGTTTTATTTTATTATGTATGATATGTTGTCAAATAATATATTTCAGATTTGTATGATACTATAAACTTTTTTCTGATGATCAGGACAATGTAGATTACATTTTATTGAGTTATAGATTATGATATTATCAATACTCTGTTACAGGTGACAGTTTGGGTTATCACAATGGAATGATGTTCAGCACCAAGGATCAGGACAACGACAGGTATGGTGGTGACTGTGCTGCAAATTGGCACGGAGCCTGGTGGTACAATGGCTGTCTCCTCTCAAACCTTAACGGAGAGTACGCCCAGTCTGCTGTGACTGGTGGTAAATACCCGGTATGGTTTAGCTGGAAAGAAAAAAATGAAGCATTAAAACAGACTGTGATGATGATAAGATACAAAAACTAGAGTTTATGTGTCATCAATCCTGAAATATTTAAAATAATTTAGACAAATTATAGTGAATGTTGACTATTGCTATCTCGCTAGAGGGCGTCGTTTCATCATTCAGAGGGTATAATGGTGGGGTTTTTTTTAACAAATGTTTCTCGACGAAACAAATTAAAGTGCAGATACCTGATTGGTGTGGTCAAAATGACTCGAAGGCCGTAGCTCTTGAGTTGAATTTATTACCAAGCCCATCGGATATCTGCACAATATCAATAATAATATATGGGTTAAGTGACTTGTACCCTAGTTAAGCATAATTGATCACATCTTAGTCTTTTGCATGTAAGAATTTTTAATGATCTGTGCTTCTGAAAAATGTTCTTGTTTTCAATAATCATGTTGATTTGATTAAATTTTATTTTACATTAAAAATGTCAAAATCAAACAATTCAAACCTTATTAAACTTAATAACGTTCATTATTTACCATGAGGCATGTTCGTGGTGGCACATATGGCCTTCTTTAACATAGATTAGATACATTCTAAAACTCAATTATTAATAAACTTTTTTATTTAATAAACAGTTTTTTGGATTGGTAATAAATAGAACGGTTTTCGAATCATTTAAGAGATAACAACAATTACAAAGGTAATGCCTCGCTGCAGAACGGATGAATCAAAATTTCTTAAGTATAACATGGTTAAAGACTGTTGTGAAAGAAACATTGTTAAGTCAATTTACACAAGAATGGTTTATGAGTATAGAAAATTCATCTAAATGTTTAAATCATAGGACTTTTAAGCACAGTTTTGGGCGAGAAATGTACCTAAGAAAACTCCCAACAGATATAAGAATTATATTAACAAAATTTAGAATTTGTAACCACAGAAATCCAATCGAAGCCGGTAGATGGACTAATACTGACAGATCTTTAAGAATATGTAATTTATGTAATAAAAACACTCTAGGTGATGAATACCATTATGTAATGGAGTGTACATTTTTTTCCTCATGAAGTATGAAACGTATTGATAAGAAATATTTTTCTAATGTAAATACTTATAAATTTGGGAACCTTATGTCCACCGCAAATGTAGACTAATTGATAAAGCTGTCTTTGTTTGTTAAAAAGATATTGGCATGTTTTCAGTAATAATCTTCTTTATATATATATATATATATATATATATATATATATATATATATATATATATATATATATATATATATATATATATATATATATATATATTTACTCTTCCTTACTTGACCTGATATTCTGTATATATGTAAATGTGACGTTAATGTACCTCATGTACCATTGTATGGTTTGAGAGTAATAAACAAACAACAAACAGAACTTTGGGATTACGTTGCCGAAAGTCTGTCTGTCCGTCTGTCACACCTATTATCTTTTTAACTATTTAAAGTAGGGGTTTGATATTTGCCTTATGTATTGCTTGAAAGAATGGCTTTTGTAAAATACCAGGTGGCCTTTTAAATTGACCTTTGACCTACTTTTCAAAACACACTGTAGTGCCGAATTACAATATTCTTTTTTTTAATGGTACGTTTATGCTATTTGGCGAGCTTGCCATAAGACATGTTGAAAAAATATCAGCATTTCAGTTCAAATGACCTTGAACTTTCAAGAATATTCTGAATCGTTGTTATACTAAGAGTTTTGAGAGGCATTGCTTTCTCAAATAGCATTTATAAACATTCTTATAGCCTACTGACATTTTTTTTCAATTTTTAAATGACTTTAACCTTACGAACTGAAATCTAAATGCATCCTGTTCAGGAATCACTCAGCCTCTGCCGTCAACCAATATGAAACGTCGGTTTTCTCGACTTGATGGAAAAAATCCGAGTGATGTTAACTGACGGGAAATAATCCAATTGTTCCATAAGTTGTCTTTGAAAAATAAAACGGGATCTGTATACCGACTTTTGTAAGGCTTTTACCACTTGTACTATTTCTGTTATATTAAATCTAGGGAAATCAGCATAGTGAAACGAGTAATCGGCATCTACAGACTTCTGTAATTCATGGGATAAGGGGGCAATTTGTGCAAGTTATATCAGAGGACTATTGGACACGATCAGGGTACATCACAAGACTACTGATATAAATCTACTTATTCCCTTAGACAGGTGGAGCCCAAATCTTCAAATATATAGTGACTAGTGAACACCTTAATCTAGTTGTACCTTGACTAGAAGACGACCTAGTTTGGTTATACCTAAGAACTGTTGGACGCCTAAAACTACTTATACTTTAGAACTAGTGGAGGTTTATTTCTTCTTGTACCTAAGAATTAATGGACACCTAATTTTAGTTACCTACCATAGGACTAGTGGACAATTTAAAATAAAATCTACTTATTCCTAAGGACTGGTGGAGACCTAAATCTAGTTAAAAGAAAAAGGATGAAGATAATGAACAGTAATCGATCAAAACTAATTCGAATAATATATCTCTGTAAAAAAAAAGGCAGAAACACAGACCACTGGAAATTCCAGAGGTGAGATCAGGGACGTAAGGGGAGTAAGCATTCTCTGTTGACCGTTCACATACGGCTGTGAGCCCTGTGTATTGATCAAGTGCACAGACACATATAATGGTCTTTGAATATGCCTCAGGACTATAGTGGAGATCGAAATCTACTGATACCTTAGGACTAGTGGACACTTTAATCTACTGATGCCTTAGGATTAGTGGACACCTATTACTTAGTTTTGTCGTAGGATTCATGGACACCTAAATGCTGTTATGCAAAAGGGCTAGTAGAGACCTAATTCTAGATATACCTTAGAAATAGTGATCACCTATTATTAGGACTGGTGGAGAGCTAAATCTAGTTATACCTAAGAACTAGCGGACACCTATATTTAGTTATACCTTAACACTAGTCGACAGCTAAATCTGGTTATACCTAAGAACTAGCGGATACCTACGTTTAGTTATACCTTAGGACTAGTTGAGATCAAAGTTAGCAATCCTTGTAATTAGGAGTAGTGGACACTTAAATGAACTCTTTTACCTTTGGACTCCTGGCCCCAAGACCATAAACTGAGAACAATCTTAAGTCAAAATTTCAAACCAATATAACTTTTGAAATTATTTTGATAATAAAACATATTTTTTATCATATATTTGAATTAACATGTCATACAAAATTGCAAACTTGTAGCCAAATTATGCTAAACAAAACTTAAAATATTAAAAATCAAAATTTTGACTTAAGTCTGTTCTCAGTTTATGGCCCTAGGGCCTGGACACCTAAAACTAGTTTTATCAGAATGTTAGTGGGTATTTTGATGTGGTTGAACAAGAGAAGATATACCATTAGTGGAGACCTAGATCTACTAGTGTCGACTAGATCACTAGATCACAGGACTTGACGAGTGGACACCTTGATCCCTTCTAAACCCGTAAGATGAATGCATTAAGTTATTAAAAGATGAACATAACAAACAATGATCAATCTCATAAATCTGCAAACAATCTGAAACGTGAACAAGGTAAACAACAGACACTTGGAAACATCAGAGAAGGGATCAGGTGACTAACAGGAGTAAGTATTCCCAGTTGGCCGGTCAAGCCTGTCGTGAGCCCTCTGTATTGAAGGACTGGTCACTATTGGTCTGATAATTTGGAGAAATATTTCAATTACGCCATGCCTTTGTGACGAAGGACAAACATGACTCAACAGGATGCTATAGTTGTTCATTGACAATATCTATGCAGTCTTTGGAGACCTGGTCTTCCGACAATCTGTTGGAAATCAGAAAGACAGGAATGGTGCCCCTTTATTAGCCAACCTGTACGTGCACTTTTATGAAGTAATTTATATTCGAAATCGTCTGCATAAAAGAAATCTCTTACTATGGCATTCAATTCGATATTTAGACATGAAGTTTTATCAATAAGCAATAATTACTTTCAGTTGTATGGAAACTAGAACATACAAGTAAATTCAAACTCGAAATAAACGATATCCTAAGGTCCACCACATCTATTTCATACTTTTCTAAAGTCGTTAATGGTCAACTAACATCTCTGAAGTTGACATTAAAAAGATGCTTGAGTTTCTGATTGACAATATCTATGTGGTTTTTGGAGACCAAGTCTTCCAACAATCTATTGGAATTTCCATGGGTACCAATTGCGCCCCGTTATTAGCAGACCTTTTTTGTATTCATATGAAGCAGAATTTGTCCAAAATCTTGTACGTGAAAAGAAGAAAACACTTGCTGTGGCCTTCAACTCGACATTTAGATATATCGACGATGTATTGTCAATTAACAATGGCTATTTCCATTCTTATGTCGATACGATATATCCTTGTGAACTTGAGATAAAAGATACCACAGAGTCTGACGAATCTGTTTCATATTTGGATATTTTACTTGAAAAAGACGTTAATGGTAATCTAACAACCAAGCTTTATGATAAACGTGATGACTTTAACTTTTCAATCGTCAACTTCCCTTACTTATGCAGCAATATACCTTCATCACCTGCATACGGGGTATATATCTCTCAGTTGATTCGATACGCAAGAGCATGCTCTACGTATGTACAATTTCTAAAACGAGGTAAATTATTGACAAATAAGTTGATGAAACAAGAATATCAGCTGTCTCGTTTAAAGTCATCGTTTCGTAAGTTCTATGGTCGATACATTGACCTTGTCAGCAAATACAATTTATCATTGAATCAAATGCTGACTGACGTTTTTCATACTAATTGTTAGGCCATTATTTACACACTGAATTGTCGACGGAGTTTTCCGTTATTTCCCAATCATGACAAGGAGCACACGGCGGGTGTGACCGGTCGGCAGGGGATGCTCACTCCTCCATGGCACCTGATCCCACCTCTGATGTTTGGAGGTCCGTGTTTGCTCTGCTCCTATTTTGTATTGATTAATGGACTTTTGAGCTTGAATACTGTTCGTTATCTCCATATATTTCATCTAAACTATATGACAAACGGGATAGTTTCACTTTTCCATCTTCAACTTTCCATATTTATTTAGTGACATTCCACTTTCACGTGCAAATAGTGTTTATGTCTCCCAACTGATTCGATACACAAAGCATGCTCCTAGCACAATCAAATTTAAAGAGGCAGGCTACGGACATAAACGTTGATCTTTCAGGGCTTTCATCATTCTTGTTTATATCAAGTCAACATTTTACAATTCTTTTGTCCGTATAATAACCTCGTTTGCAAAACATATTTTTGGGTCGTATTTTGACTGACATTATTAGGCTACTGTTTTAAAACTAATTTTCAGT